TATATATATATATATATATAATTATTATTTTTTTGGGAAAAAAGATGCTGCAGTTGTGCTGAAATTCGTATATTTCAGATGAGATATGATTCTTAAGGGCAAACATCATGAAAATCATGTTATGAGGATGCCAACTATAAGATGCCCTAACTAAACAGTAAATAAAATGGAAACAACTTATGTCTTCTTCTGAGATGTGGAATCAAAGCAAAAGCGATTAATTTGTTTAGATAAGCTGCCAAATGTAAAGATAGTAAATATCTGCTCCACACAAAAATGAATATTTGAAAGAGCTTATCGGGGGAAAAGAAAAGCAAAAAGCTGATTGAGTGAATATATGCTTTGTGAAAAAGATGTAATGTGGGACACCTTAGGCTATATATTCCAACTCTTATCAACCTTACATTTTCTATTTTCTTTTTCGGTTAATACAAAACAAAAAAAAAACAATTTTTTGTTTTTGTCATTTATTGTGAATTGATAATCGATCTTTTTATTTAATTATTTTTTGGGCTATTGCTAGTTGCTTAGTGGCGTTCCACTGTTCTTGAATGAGCCCGATAAATAGTTTATGTTCTGAGGCTCGAGTTTGCTATCAAAATAATGTTGTTATATCATAATATTATCATGATACGTCTATATAATAACATTGTAATATTGTTTATATTTATTTTAAAAATTAAATTGTTATGTTTTAAAAAAAATTCAATTAAAATCTATCATTTTCAATCATATAATTCAAAAAAAAATAAACTTAGTTGATAAATAAATCTCGCATGATCGACCTGAAACCATAAGTTTCTCTCAATCTGTGGAAAGTATTTTTCACTGAAGTGGGGTAGCAAAAAAAATAAACTTATTTAGTTGATAAATAAGTGTGCTTAGAAATTAGGCGCTGCAAGAGTAGCTAAAGACAGAAGAAATAATAATATTATTATTATCTTTTTAAATATATTTTTATTAGTTAAAATTTATTAGGAATTTTAAAATTGTGTATCGATATAATTTTTCACTGCTCTTTATATATGAATTAAAATAATCATCTTCTGCTATAATATTTTCAGGGATTTTTTTTAATAAAAGCGTTCTTAACTGATATTTTTCAACAAGAGTATTTTATTAATTTTTCTCAATTATGATTTAATTTCTCCTTCTTATTTTCAATGTTTATTGAATTTTAATATTTTTTTAAAAGTCACCAGTAATTACAAATACTCTTATATTACAATATAAATTATTTATTATATATCTAAAACATAATGTATATATTCAAAAAAAATATTTATTATAAAATTAATTTTAATATATAAAAATTATATATTTAAAATTATTTATTTATTATAAATTATAACTATATAAAATAAACTTTCACCCTTTACATCATATAAACTAAAATACTGACTTAAATCTCATAATTTCTATAAATTCTAACCTATAACAAAATATATTTAAAACAAAAATATAAGCATGTTAAAAAATATGTAGCTAACAATCTTTACAGGAAATTATTTTTTTAAAAAAAAAAAGAACAAATAAATGCACTGGAACAATGGGAAAGTATAAACATTGGTGTAGGCAATTAGGCATATCATCAAGCGCATCTGGTGTAGTGGTATCATAGTACCCTCCCACGGTACTGACCGGGGTTCGATTCCCCGGATGCGCATTGCAACATTACATTTTTTGATTTTTTTATGCCGACGAATTTTATTTGGATTCAGCTTCGAAAAAGAATCATTGATGAGTGAGAAAGAATAATTTCAAACACGCTTTCACTCCATTCAATTGCTGCACTTGTGCGATTAAGCTCCGTCAAATTCAATCCTCCATTCAGATATCACCACCATTACTTGCCAAACTTTTTGGCGAGGTTGAAATTGGCACGTGGCTACATGATTCACCAGCACGAAGCAAAACAGCAAAACAATGTATTTATTTACTTGGAATGCTTTTATTATAGGAAATGCATAAGACCTGCTTGGCATTAGAACAGAACAGATGAAAAGTGATATTTTGGTGGCACTGTGGCAGTGCTTTCTACGTGTCTATCGTTGGTCATATTCAATTAATTATGATACAAAGTGTACAAATGATTGAACATATTTATTGCAAAAGCCTCCCAACAATAGAGTTTATCGTATTCACAAAGGAAAAAGTAAGCTACCATTATTTACTTGACAAACCAGAATATCATATATTCAACTCATCAATATTCAACTGAAAAGACAGCCCCATGAATCT